AGCTTGGAGACAGTGCCCAGGCCCAGAGTTTAAGCCCAGGACTGGAAAAAATACTTTGTAGCGGTTTTTACCTAAGCCTCTGTATATTCCTTTTTCTAATAAGACTCGTCCTTGAGATTATTAACTTAGGTTTTTTGGGGGGGGTCCGGTCGTGGGACCTGAACTCTGGGCCTGGGCGTTGTCCCAGCTCAAGGCTAGCGCTCTACCACTTGTGCCACAGCGCCACTTCCAGCTTTTTTCTTTTTGTTTATGTGGTGCTGAGGAATCGAACCCAGGGCCTCATGCATGCAAGGCAAGCACTCTACCACTGAGCCACCTTCCCAGCCCAGTTTTTTTTTAAGTGTCAAGATTCCTCTTAGTTCTAACATTAACAGATCTACAGTGTTCTTCTGGGCAAAAGCATTTACCTGATGGCAGCTACTTACACCACAAGCTCCAGCAGAGATAGAATAGAAATGCCACTTCTTCACCCTCTAGTCTAGAAAATCTGGCAGTTTAAAACTTCGGCCAGTGATTTGATTATGGCATCAATACTGTAACTCTGAAAAAAAAAAAGATTGTAAGTACCTGTGTTCACATCACTATGTAAATTTCATGATAGTATATTCTTGAAAGTAAAGTCCTACAGCTCATTCTATTCTTGCTTACTTTAAAATAAAACTACAGATCCAATCAAAATTTAAGAGGGCTAGCAGGATTCAGTAATAAAGAACTATGCCCTAGGTCCCATTTCCAGTACAGAAAAGATTTACTGCTTCTAAAGATTACTATGCTCTGTCATACTTACTAAACCTTATAGAAAAAGATGAGATAATTTGTTAAATATATCTTGTTCCTAGTCACTACATAGATCTTCTGAGTTGTGTCCTAAATATTTTTATAAATAAAACTCTTCTCACTACCAAATAATATATTTTGAAGGTAGAGATTACTTACATATTTTATTGGTGGATTTGATGTGGCATCAAAGAAAAGGAAAAGATGTCACTGTTGACCGAAAGCTTCTTGGCTTGAGCAGCTAGATTTGCATTTCTAACTGCTCAGGTAGAAGAAATATGGGATGCTTTGCCTAGGTGAGACAGAAAGGGTTTGCTTTTGAAGAGTTTAAGTTTTGAGGTATATATTAGACATCCATGTGAAAATACCAAGCAGACAAATGCATACATGTCTGGAATGCAATGCAAATTGGAGATATATTTCTGGCAATCATCAACATACAGCTAATACTTAAAGCTTTGGCATTACTTACAGCAAATGACCCAGAGAGTAAATATAAAGAAAGCAAGATGTCTAGGGCTGGGTTCAGGAACATTCCAGTGATTAGAGAATGGAATGATGAGATGTCAGTGAAGAAATCTGAGGAGTGGCATGTAAGAAAGGAAACCCAGAAGAATGTGGGAATCCCAGCAGAGAAATGATGACTATATTAAGGGAAAATATAAACAATGGAGTCAAATACCAGGATAGGTATGTGGAATGGAAACTGATGAGTGATCACTGCATTTGGCCACGCAGAGATTATTGTGAACTTGGGCTCTTTCTATGGCTTGGTAGATATGAAATCCAGATTGAACTATGGAAAGGATAGTAGGAGAGGAAGAGGAGAACCATGCTTGGCTTATCCTTTTTTTTAAGTTTTTCTTAAAGAAGAATGTAGAAATAGAGTAGAAGCTGGAGGGGGAACATTAGATGGAAAGATTTTTTTTTAGTTTGTTAGATGACGGATGTCCCTAAGCTGATTATAATGCTCGATTAGGAAGAAAGCTTCATGAAGAAGCAGTCCCCTCCAAGTATCCTGCTCTTCCTCCTCCTTCTCTTTTAATTTTTCTCCTTTTCATCCTCTTCCTCCTTCACTTCCTCCTCCCCTATTCCCTTTTTCTCTCCTCATCTTCCCCTTTCCTCCCTTTTCTTTTTCTGAATTGCTGGTAATTGAAACCAGGGCCTTGTGCATGCTAGGCAAGTACTCCACTAGTTAGCCCGAAAGTGCTGTCTTCAAGATAAAAAGGAAAGCTAGGAATGTGGCTTAGTGCTTGCCTTGCATGCCTGAGGCCCTGGGTTCAATTGCTCAGTACCATATAAACAGAATAAGCCAGAAATGGCACTTTGGCTCAGGTGGTAGAGTGCTAGACTTGAGCAAAAGAAGCTTAGGGTGAAGTAAGCCAGGCCCAAAGAAGCATAGGTCCCACGGTTTCCCTTATTTGCAATAACTAGTATATGTCTGAGACAAGCAGAAAAGGTCAGATAAGTTGATGTTAGGGAAATGAATCCTAAGATATGTATTCAAATGTTTTTTTCTTTCATGCGATTTTTTCTAACATATTTATAAGATGATTTCTTTGTTGCTTTGTATGTCCCTCCCCCACGGTATAACCCCTGTTTTCATTGTATTTAATGTTGGTATAATTTGTGGAAGGGAAGGGCAAAAACAAATCGTTTAAATAAGGATACAGGTTGACCCATTGCAACAATGAGATGTACAAGTTGTTATGTCGAAAAAAGAAATTTACAACTTTGGCAGGAGGGGGAGGGGAGGGGGAGGATGGGAAGGGATGGGAAGAGGAAACAAAGGAGGAGACAACAATGCTTGATAAGAAATGTACTCATTACCTTGCCCATGTAATTGTAACCCCTCTGTATTATCACAATAAAAAAAAGAAGCTTAGGGATAGTGTCCAGGCCCTGAGTTCAAGCCCCAGGACTGGCAAAAAATAAAAATAAAAAGGAGCTGGGCATCAGGGTCCACATGCCTGTAATCCCTGTAATCCTAGCTACTCTGGAGGCAGAGATCTGAACACCTCAGTTCAAAGCAGTCTGGGCAGGAAAAGTCTGAGACTCTTATCTCTAATTAATCACCAAAAGGTGGAGCTTTTGCTCTAGTGGTAGAGCAGTAGCCTTAAACAAAAAAAGCTCAGGCCCTGAGTTTAAACACAAGGGCCAGAAAAAAATATGAAAAGGAATAGAGTCCAATGCATCCCATTGTCCTACTACCAACATCTTCCTACAAATATAAATTAGCTAATGAGGGATTGCAAAGTAGGAGGATGGAATGGCTGGCTTGGCTTTAGGAGTATAGATAGTTCATTACTTTTTGCAAGAGGGAAGAATATGCAGGAGTTGGTAGATTTTATAAGGTGAGCGTGTGGAAGTTCTCTTTGGAGAGCTTCACTTCTCAGTGAAATAGGAAGTAGGTTGATCCGATGAAAATGAGGGTGGAAAAGGAGGTGATGGAGACTAGCGGAAAAAGAGGCAGTGAAATAATGGTCCAGGTGTATAAGGGATGAGAGAAAGGGGGTGAGAAGGTATATATAGATGGTTTCTGAGCAGTGTTAGGATGTCACTCAGGGTTAGTGGACATGAATTTAAAATCATACCAAACTGCTGGCTGTTCTGTGTTCTCTAACCCTGCGGTTTCTGGAGAGTTGTATTTAAACAGACTACAACTTTGCCAAGCAATTATAATGGAAAGAAAGACAGATAAGAGAATTCTGAATATTTTCAATAGAGGGATTATTTTTTGTTTGTTTGTTTGTTTGGGTCCGGTTGTGGGGCCTGAACTCTGGGCCTGGGCGCTGTCCCTCAGCTCTTCAGCTCAAGGCTAGTGCTCTACCACTTGAGCCACAGCGCCACTTCCGGCTGTTTTCTTTTTGCTTATGTGGTGCTGAGGAATCGAACCCAGGGCCTCGAGCATGCAAGGCAAGTGCTCTACCACTGAGCCACCTTCCCAGCCCCAATAGAGGGATTATAATTGTGGACCATGTGGTTTAAGCTGGGTAAAAATAAATGAGAACCAGACACAGTGATGCACTCCTGTAATCCTAGCCCTTGCACAGCTGAGGCAGGACGACTACAAGTTTGAGGCCAGCATGACCATGTCTCAAAAAACAAAACAAAGCAATGCAAATGAGAAAAGGAGCAGGGTAAGGAACTTTATAAAGTGTGTAAGACCAATAGGATGTAGTTTATGGTATGTTGAAAATTTGTTGATACTGAGCAGCTAGAAGTACACAGGAAGGAATGTTTAGAAGATAGGATGCTTGAGACTGAGAAGACACTACCATTAGTGGTAATGACAAAGCCTAGGAAATTACTGTGGAATGAGTGTCTGATGTGGGGTAGAAGTATAGGTTAACTGGCAAAAGAGCTGAGAAGTCAGGATATCTGGATATTATCAGGCAGGATTAGTTGAGTGACGTTGGACATATTGTTTGGTTTCTTGTCTGCATGTTCATAGCTTAAACAGGGCCAAGAATTGCTCTGACCTCCTTAGGTTACAGTAAAGATTGAGATACATGTGTGTCAAACCTTTCCCAGAAACGTCTCTCCCAGCTTGTTCACCTGGCTAGGACCTAATCAGTTTTCTGAAAGCCTTTTCTGGTCTCCTTGCCCACACCCTCTGATTCAGCTCCTCAGCTCCTGGATTTTCTGCTTTGTACAATACCTGCCATATAACAAGTGCTCAGTAAAACAATAAAAATATAAGTTAACTCAAACTTGAGTACCTAATAAAATTTCCTTGCCCTCTTATGAGATGGAAAGCTCCATAGCCATGAGAAAGTCTACTGCTGTGGAGAGCCTTTTTACCGCTATTTGTTTTGGGGCTTGTTTCTGATAGTTTGCAAGCATGTTGGGAAGAGAGGAAGAAAGTGATAATATCAGTATGGCTTATTTTATTCTTTTTTTTTTTTTTTTTTTTTGGCCTGGATCCTCAGGGCCTGGGCATTGTTTCTGAGCCTCTCTGTGCACAAGGCTAGGGCTCTACCACTTGAGCCACCGAAACACTTCCAGCTTTTTCTGAGTAGTTTATTGGAGATAAGAGTCTCATGGACTTTCTTGCCTGGGCTGGGTTTGAATCACAACCTCGCCAATCTCAGCCTCCTGAGTAGCTAAGATTACAGACATGAGCCACTGGCACCCTGCTATTGATTCTTAAAATCTAAGAACTTCAATATCTTATCCATCTGTATTTCCTTTAACACTTTTTTGTTATTTCTTCCTAACAGAAGTCCTAATAAAGAAAACTGAAAATGTTGTATCAAGAAGATTTGTCCAAAATAGCTCTGAGAAGCCCCAGTGAACAGATTGCACATGTACTGGTAGAGAGAAGTACGATCTTGGGGAACTTGGAACTTGTGGACTCCAAGACAGAGTCTCAAAGACAATGAGCAGTAACCTACAGAAATATTTTCCCCAGGTATTCATAAAATACCTAGATAATTGAATAAGAAGAAAGCCAGTTTTACCTGCATCCATTTATTTATTTATACATTAAAATATCAGGAAGCCAGTTGAATTGTGCTTCAGGATACATATTTGGGACTTGACACACTGGGACGTGCCTGCACTCCCAGTGAATTAGAAAGTGGTAGTAGAATTGCAATCTGTGGAGTGCCTCAGCAGAAGTATGAGAACCTATCTAAAAAATACCTAAAGCCAAAAGGTCTGGGGGCATGGTTCAAGGACTAGAACACCTGTCTGAAAAGTGCAAGACTCTACGTTTAAACATCAATACTACAAAAAAAAAAAAAAACAGAGGTCAATTAGACATGACCTGGACTTTCAAGAACTTGAAAACCAATGGAAAGAAGTAAGCTAGTGGTTATGGTTCAGTATGAATAGTTTTTTGGGAGGAGGCACAGAAGGCCAGGAAACTCCAGGGAAAGGCTGAGAGGATGGGCAGGGAGACCAGCAAAGGCTTCCAGAGAAAGTAATGGCAAGGAGCTTTGAAGGCTGATTAGGTGCTAACCAAGTAAAGGCATTCTGAAAAATGCACAGAGTATTTAATTCATATTGGGTCATGTGACTGAATGCTGAGATATGCTGGAGATTTGTTCAAAAATGCTGGATATTTTGTCAGGAACCCTAGCCTGATGAGAGAGACTCATATGCTAAGTTAAAGAATTTGGAAACCCCAGCACCAATGGCTTATTCCTGTAATCCTGCTACTACTACTTAGGAGGCTGAGATCTGAGGATCACAGTTCAAAGCCAGCCAGGGCAGAGAAGAAACCCTGAGACTCTTATCTCCAATGAACCACTCAAAAACTAGAAGTAACACTGTGGCTCAAAATGGTAGAGTGCTAGCCTTGAGCAAAAGAGCTCAGGGACAGTGCCCAGGCCACACACACACACACACACACACACACACACACACACACACACACAAACAAACAAAAGAATTTGGATTTGGTACCTGTATATGTCCTTGGTCCATATGAGAGTCATAAATACATTTCCGAATGAACAAATGCTTGCCTTGGTTATAGATCTGAAGAGTCAGCCCTGGGATCAGCCCATGTGTTCATGATGTGGTATTGTTTCTAAAAATTATTGTATTAGGTTTAAGAAAAATGTTTAAGATTTTTTAGATCTCAGTTTATGAGTGAGATTGTTCTGTGATTTCTCAGCTAAGCTACTGTAACATCTATTAGTGTTTATGGACATTTGCTTTCTTTTTTTTTTTAATGTTCATTTGCTTTCATTTCTCTTGTGCTTGTCCCAAGGAATGGAGTGGCAGAGTCGTTTGACAAGTGTGTTTAACTTTTTTACCCTTTTTTTAACCTTTGTCAGGTTGTAATACAAGCCAAGTCTTAGTCATTTTTTTTCTTTATAGGCTCTCTACGAAACTTTGTAGGTATTTTTTTCCTAAATCGCTTTCACATGAAACATAAATACTACAGATTTACTACCTCTTTGTTCTGTAGGCTTATCAAAAGAGTAAAGATTTTTGTCTCTTCCGAAATCAATATTGCTTTGTTGAAAATGTATTGGTTGGCCTCATGGGGTTTGGGTATAAATAACATTAGCTTTAATATTGATTGATATTTACTTTATTTTTTAATTTTGGATAAGGAGAAATTTGAAGAAACATATCAGCCTCTGCAAAGAGAGCATCAGAAGCATCAAGAACCTGGGCAGCAGTGTAAAAACAGTCTGAGTGAGGTAAAAAATTATATTCTTCTACTTAATTACAGTTTCTAATAACAAATGGCTTTTGCCTTGAGTTTGTCTGAATATATTAAAACATATAGATGCATACTGTATGAGTGGTCAAACTGGACATAAAAGTGTTATGCACACATAAATATTGGAGGGCAAAATAAGTTATCTGTTTAACATAATGGCTTGTTTTTTATTGAATATGTCAAAGTGTATGTAGGCAGTATAGTAATATCATATCCTTTAAGGCGTCACATTGGAGGTTAGGGGTGTGATTCAGTGGTAGAATATTTGCCTGCCATACACAAGGACCTGGGTTTGTACAATATTTGTTCTCTTTAAGAAATTTTTTTTTAAAGCCAGGTACTGGTGACTCATACCTGTAATCCTAGTTACTCAGGAGGCTGAGATCCGAGATCACAGTTCAAAGCCAGCCCTGCCTGGCAGGAAAGTACATGAGACCCTTATCTCCAATTAATCACACAAAAAAAGCCAGAAGTGGTGCTGTGGCTCCAAGTGGTAAAGCACTAGCCCCAGGACTAGCAAAAAAGAAATAAAAGCAAAATGTAATTGAAATAGAGTTTTTCAGCTTTTGAAATCTTTAAGAATAATTTCTGAACAAAGAACTCTAGCATAAGTTAAGCCTTGTTAATGATGTACATACTTTGAAATTAAACAAAATGTTTAATAGGAGAACATGTTATACATGGTGGTTAATATACCATCTCTCTTTTTGCCATATATTCATTTTTCTATTTCAAGTTGTTTTTCATAATCATGTAAATGTCTCTAAAGTATGTTAGAGCCAACCATATGAAATTTGCATTTACAAGGAAACAACAATCACATGTCACCAATTTTATATGATTCTACCTAACAAAAGAATCACATATAAGTGAAATATTATTTGCTACTTTATTATCTTTTAAGCATTATAATAAATAACAGAATGTTACAAGAATGCATTTGCTGGTTTGTTGTTGCTGTTGTTGTTGTTGTTACTAACAGTAGTTTTACTTCAGACTCATAATGGAGACCTGGACAAAGATAAAATATCACAAACCTGCCCCGAGCAAGGTGTGGAAGAAGTAATGAAGAGGATGGGGCTGGCCAATAAGGAGATCCAGAGGCTCACAGATGAACTGCAAGGGAAAGAGAAAGAAGTGGAGAAGTTAGGTATGCCCTGGTTTCAAGTAACCATTTCTGGCCGTGTTTTTCCTGAGTCAGCATGAATTCACTGAAGTGAAAAGTCATTTAACGTGAACACAGAGTGGTCTGACACACTGCCTTCTTTTCTGTAGTCCAGAACTTTCTACTGAAGCACTAGAACATGCCTGACAGAAAGTGCAGGACTTGTAAAGGTACTGCACTCACCCGGAAGGATTCCTAGCATCCCAGCAACCCTCTACTCCTTCCCTAGCTCTATATTCTCCTCCTCACCCCCCAAACCACAGTTTATTTATCTGTTCTACTGGAGGTGGACATTTGTGTACTTTCTAGCTTTGGGTCTGTCATGAACTCTCCTGCTGTGAACATTTGTGAACATGTATTTTGGTGTTTCTATCTATACATTTCTAATTTGCATGAGAATACAATTACTGGTCTCCTTTCGACTGTGCTCAGTGCTTTTTCCATAACTAATTTTGCCTTCTTTTTTTCACACTTTTAAGGTAAACACTTCACAACTCGAGTCACATCCCCAGCACTTTCTTTTTTTTTTTTTTTTTTTTTGGGGGGGGGGGGGTCCGGTCGTGGGGCTTGAACTCTGGGCCTGGGCGCTGTCCCTCAGCTCTTCAGCTCAAGGCTAGCACTCTACCACTTGAGCCACAGCGCCACTTCTGGCTTTTTTTCTTTTTGCTTATGTAGTGCTGAGGAATCGAACCCAGGGCCTCAGGCATGCAAGGCAAGCGCTCTACCACTGAGCCACCTTCCCAGCCCCCCAGCACTTCCTTTTAGTTTGTTTTTTAGGTAGGTCTCACACTTACATTGCTCTGCCTCCCCATTAGCTGCGATTATAGATATGTGACAACGTGCTATGAAATTGATTTTGGCTTTAAATTTTTTTGCTGTAGTAATTTTTATCTGTGAGTATATGTTGAGTCCTGTGGATCCTTTTATTTATTTTTTTTTGGGGGGGGGGGTCCAGTCGTGGGGCCTGAACTCTAGGCCTGGGCGCTGTCCCTCAGCTCTTCAGCTCAAGGCTAGCACTCTACCACTTGAGCCACAGCACCACTTCCGGCTTTTTTTTTGCTTATGTGGTGCTGAGGAATTGAACCCAGGACCTCAGGCATGCAAGGCAAGCGCTCTACCACTGAGCCAACTTCCCAGCCCATGTAGATCCTTTTAATACGTCACCAAACCTATGGCTGATCATGGGGACCCCTGACACTCATACAATGGAATACTACATTTGTCAGTTAAAAGAACTGAAATATTTTATACCTACTATATGGGTGAATCTCAAAGCCATAAATGCAAAGAAATAAATGCAAAATATCATGTATTACGTAAAAAAATTTATCTGAATCATCTACAGATAGAAAGTAGATTCTGCCAGACGTCAGTGGCTCACACCTGTAATCCTAGCTACTCAGGAGGCTGAGATCTGAGGATCACCGTTCAAAGCCAGCCCAGGCAAGAAAGGCCATGAGACTCTTATCTCCAATAAACCACTAGAAAACCAGAAGTGGCACTGTGGCTCACTCAGTTGAATGCTCACCTTGAGCTGAAGAGCGCAGGGACAGCTCCCAAGCCCAGAGTTCAAGTCCCACAACCGGAAGAAGGAAGAAGAAGAAGGAAGAAGAAGAAGAAGAAGAAGAAGAAGAAGAAGAAGAAGAAGAAGAAGAGAGGAGGAAAAAGTAGATTCTTGGTTGCCTAGGACTACTTGTGAGACTAGAGATCGATTGGACAGGAGATTTCTTTATGGGTGATGAAAATATTTTTAAATTAGATTATGGTGGTGGCTGCACACCTGCAAATATGCTTTAAAAAGACCATCAACTTGCTCAATGATTCAAAATGGGTGGATTTTATTGTATGTAAATCATGCTGCCATAAAACTTAAAATATCATAAAATCTGGAGAAAATAGATATATTAAGCAGAAATCTAAGGTGGTACCCAAGAGCACTTCCCCTTGGAATACATCCATCTCTTTCCAGTTAACCAGTCACATATAACCTAGATATTGCTGGGAACTATGCAAGTGTAGCTATAGTACAAAGTCAAGTGGTTTTAGGAAAGGGAAAGTATCCTGGGTGAGTCTGATCTAACCAGGCGAGTCCTTAAGAAGGACTGGGCTTTTCCAGGCAAAAGAGAGTCAAATTGTGATTAGAATTTAACACAAGGGGGGGCTAGGAAGGTGGCTCAGTAGTAGAGTGCTTGCCTTGCATGCCTGAGGCCCTGGGTTCGATTCCTCAGCACCACATAAGCAAAAAGAAAAAAGCCGGAAGTGGCGCTGTGGCTCAAGTGGTAGAGCACTAGCCTTGAGCTGAAGAGCTGAGGGACAGCGCCCAGGCCCAGAGTTCAGGCCCCACGACCGGACCCAAAAAAAAAAAAGAATTTAACACAAGGGAGATTCTCCATTGCTGACTTTGAAGATGGAAGAGACCATAAGGCAAAGAATGCTGTCAACCTCTAAAAATCAAGAGAGATGGTCAGCTGATGGTTGAAAAGGAACTGGCTCCACAACTTCAAGGACTAGATTCGGCCAACAACCCAAATCAGCCTGGAAGTAGATTCTTCCCCAAAGACTACAGAGAGAAGCACAACTTGGCCAGTACCTTGATTTCAGCCTTGTCAGACTCCAGCCAGAGAAAACAGCCATAAATGCTTGCATTTCTGACCTACAGAAATGTGACCTAATAGATAGATGTTATTTTGAGCAACTATGTTTATGGTCAATTATTATACAGCATCAGAAAATAATGCAATAAGTATCATGGGATTTGATCAAAAGAACCAAGGGTTGTGAGCATAAAAACAAAATAGACCTAAAAACAAAATTCTGTGATCCAGAATGATCTACAAGGTCATGTGTGCCAATGCTCATGGTTCCTGCCTGTAATGCTTGCTACTCAGGAGGCTGAGATCTGAGGACTGTGGTTCAGAGCCGGCCCAGGCAGGAAACTCCTTGAAATTCTTATCTTCAATTAACCACCAAAAAACAAGAAGTGGCCCTGTGGTTCAAAGTGGTGGAACACTAGGCTTGAGCAAAAAAGCTCAGGGACAGTACTCAGGCCCTGAGTTCAAGCCCCATGACTGGCATATCAATCAATCAATCAATCAATCACGTGTGTCTTTTAGAAGATCTTTCATCCTGACAATGCTTCCCCTCAGCTGCTGGGGAGATCACAGGAGGCAAAGGATACTGGATTAGTAAACACAGATCCAATTGACTCTAATATAATATCACATGTTTTCTTTTTTTCTTTTTTCTTTTTTGTCAGTCATGGGGCCTGAACTCTGGGCCTGGGCACTGTCCCTCAGCTCTTTAGCTCAAGGTTAGCACTCTACCACTTGAGCCATAGCTCCACTTCTGGCTTTTTCTGTTTATACCTGTTGCTGAGGAATTGAGCCCAGGGCATCATGCATGCAAGGCAAGCACTCTACCACTGAGCCACCTTCACAGCCCTTACATATTTTCTAAATACTGTTCAGCTGTCCTTGTATAATTCTTTTTATTTTATTTTATTTATTACTTTTTGGGTCTGGTCATGGGGCCTGAACTCTGGGCCTGGGCGCTGTCCCTCAGCTCTTCAGCTCAAGGCTAGTGCTCTACCACTTGAGCCATAGCGCCACTTCCAGCTTTTTTCTTTTTGCTTATGTGGTGCTGAGGAATCAAACCCAGGGCCTCATGCATGCAAGGCAAGCACTCTACCACTGAGCCACCTTCCCAGCCCCCCTTGTATAATTCTTGACTGTTACCAAAAGCTGTTTACTGAAAATCTGTTTTTTGGGCATTTGAAGCAATTATTTGCAAAATTTTTAGTGCAGTCATATGCCACATCAATGACAGATTTTATATACTATAAGCTTATTCACTCCTGTTTTGGGTTGACAGCCTTTACCCTGGGTTATCCACAGGCTAGGCCTGTCCATAGTTGCCTATTCCTACTGACCCCTGCTGCATCAGTAACATAGTCTAGAAGCCCAGTCCCAGTCACATGCTGGTTCTAGTGTATAATTGCAAGATGCCAGCTATAAAATGTATTGTCTCTGCTGTAGGGTGCTTTCCCAGACTATATGACAACTGTAAGATGTATTGACTTTGCTACGTGCCAGCTATAGAACACCCTGCCCTGGCAGTGTTCGGTTATGTCTATGAAGATTTCCTGCCCCACCCCCTTCTTCTGCTCTCAGACTCCTGACACTATATCTACCTCTACTGTTTCGAGAGAAGTTTGTTTCTCTCTATCCCGGGAGAGATAGCCTGTCAGCCTCTAGCTGATGTTAAACACTTCTTTCTTCTATGTGACTATGTGTCCGAGTGGTTTTCTGGGTCAGCACTTACATATACAACAACAGTCCCCAAGATTATATTATATAATAACATTGTATACAGTAAAATATACTCTGTGATACTTATACAATGATAAAATCTCCAGTTTCCCTGAATATCTCCCTATTGTTAAGTGATGCATGACTTCTATTGATTGCAAAGATTGTTTTTAATTATTTCTTATTACACAAATAGAACCATGCTTTCAAACTTGCCCCTGTGCCCATTACTTTCAGTGATCTGAAGTCTTCAGCATGTCATTGGGTGGTAAAAGGGTGAGGAAGAGACAATTCTGAAATGAGCTGTTCAGTGATGGGGAAAATGTAGAATACAGTAGGAGCACCAGGAGCGAAATCCTAAAAGCTTCCTAGAGGAAGAGACATTCATGCCAAAACTCAAAAGACAGTGCTTTAAAGAGTGACAAAGTCATTTGAAATTTTCTTACTAATCATTTGTTTCTTACACAAAGATTTCTTCTTTTTTTATTTTCAGAGTCTGCACTTGAGAAGGCTCACTTAGAAATTGAGAAACTGAAAGAAAGTCTGATGAAACTGAAAGAAAATGGTAAGTTCTTCTAGCAGACAGAATAATTAGGATTCACTAATAATAGCTGTTAAATGATGCTGTAAGTAACGCTGCTTGATAATATAAACAATAAGCTGGGTGCTGGTGGCTCACGGCTGTTTAATCCTAGCTACTCAGGAGGCTGAGATCTGAGGACTGTGGTTCAAAGCCAGCCTGGGCAAGAAGGTCTATGTGACTCTTATCTCCCAATTAATTACAGAAAAAGCCAGAAGTAGCACTGTGGCTCAAGTGATACATAGCTAGCCTTGAGCAAAAAGGAGCTCAGGGACAGCCCCCAGGCCCAGAGTTCAAGCCTCAAGACTGGCAAATAATAATAATACAAACAATCAGCTTCCCTGCTGCCGTTGCTAGTGCCTGCTTACTCTGTACAGGCACTCTGCAGGGATTTCTTGTGTATGACCTCTGATCCTCACAACCATCCCACTCAGTGAGTGTTATTATCCTCCTTTCTTAGGTAAGGAAACTGAATTGTCATAGGGCCAGGTGTGCTACCCATTAGCTACATGAGATGTCAGAACAGGTATTTGAATTCTTCATAGCCAAGGGTTGGGAGAGATGGGAGAAAATGGTGAAAGGGAGGACACTGATCAAGATGCATTGTACTCATAAACTGACATGTGGAAATGAAACTCCTCTGTACAACTACTTAAAGATAATTAATAAACTAATTCATTAAAAATCACCGTGATCAGCACAAATAACACATATTTATTAATACCATCAGGACCAATAGTACATTTAACAATATTTCATACATATCCTTTCACTGGAAGCCAGTAGGCATGGAATCAGTGTTGAATTAATTGGTTGGACTATAGAATATGAGTGTAGATTGACTAGATAAAATGCTACCAATTATCAATAACAGCTATCAATGGTAACAACTACAAAAAGAATGTAAAATATGTTTATCAGTTTTAAAGAAATCTAAAATTGTTATACCCTCCTTTTCAAAATATATTAATATAGTTATAAAATCAGCACTGCTCTCTGAGCTAGGACTAAAAATAAAATCTCAATGAGGCAGGAAAAATAAATCAGCAATGATATGACAGACCTAAAACTACTATTATCTAATATAGTCTAATTGATATTTATACAAAACTCTATCAGACTATATCAAAACTCTACCTTGTCACAGAACAGCACCAAACTGGGTCATAAAACACGAATTGAAATCATACAAATTTTGCCTTCTACTATAATGAAACAAAAAATCAGTAATGGAAATCCATCTGGGAAATTAAATATTTAAAAAATAAGATTATTAAAGCTTGTGTCCTCAGAAGAAAAAAGGCAAAAGATATCAGAAAATATTTTGAGATAAAGAAAATTAAACTATGAGACTATCAGCATGTAGAACACAGCTAATTCTGTGCTTAAAAGAAATCATAGAGTAGTTACTGTTCATGCTAAAAATTGAGAAAGGACACGAAGTGATCTAAATGTATACCCAAAACCCAGAAGAAGTAAAACAAACCCAGAGTGAACAGAAAGGTGATATTAAGATAAATTCAACTGAATATCCCCAGCTATACTAAAAGTTGTACTTGTAGTTAAAAATACTCAATGAAGGACCAAGTATAATAGTTTATGCCTATAATCCCAGCTATTTAAGAGGCAAAGATAGCAAGATCATAGATTGAGGCTTACCCTGGCCAAAAGTTAACAAGAGGCTATCTCAAGGAATAAGCTAGACATTGTAGATTATACCCATAATCTCAATTTGATTTCAGGCCTGGACATAAAGTATGAGACCTCATCTGAAAAATAACTAAAGAATAACAATGGGGTGGGAGCATGACTGAAGTGGTAGAACTTTTGCCTAGCAAATGAGAGGCCCTGAGTTCAAATCACACTACCACCAAATAAAATAATGCATGAAGAAAGTCCTAAAGTTAGAAGGACTCACTAGTGAATGTTAACAAATGTGTGAGCTGTAAATAATAGTAATTTTACATAAATTCATTCAGAAAATAGAAAAGAGGCACTAATACTCAGCTTAAGGGATCAGCATTACTCTGATACCAAAACCAGACAACAACATTACCAAAATTCCAGTGAGTTAGGGACCCACTTGTGAAAGTACACTGTGTAAGCAAATAGCTTGTTGTATAGTCAAATAGACTTATCTAGAATGTATAAGTGCTCACACCCATAATCCACTCAGGAGGCTAAGACTTGAGGATCTCAGTGCAGAGCCAGCCCAAGTGGACAAATCTCAAGACTTAGTTCCAGTTAGCCAGCAAAATACCAGAATTGGGGGTGTGGTTCAAGTGGTATAGTACCAGTCATAAGTGAAAAAGTCAAGGGAGAGCTCAAGGCCTTAAGTCCAAGACCTAGTGCTGGTGTATATACACATATGTACACACGTGCAAGGGTGCATGCATGCATGCACACACAGAAGAGAGTTAGTTAAAAAGTGACTTCACAATGATTATCTTGCAGCTTTTAGCAAGAATAACATCTAGATACTAGTGGCTCACACCTTAATTCTAACTACTCAAAAAACTGAGATGCAGAGGATTATGATTCAAGGCCAGCCCAGGGAGAAAAGTTTACTAGACTCCATCTTGAAAATAACCAGCAAAAAGCAAGCTAGATGCATGGCTCAAGTGATTAGAACACTAGTCTAGCAAGCAAAGAGGTCCTGAGTCAAATCCCAACAGTGCCAAAAAGGAAGGAAGGGAGGAAGGAAGGAAGGAAGGATAGACAGATTGATAGACAGATGTGACTCAGTAGTAGAACACTTTCTTACCATACAAAGGCCCTAGCTTAAATCCCCCATGAATAAAAATATATATGTCATAGAACTTTATACATTGACCACCTTACACCAGTTAGAATGTCCATAATCAAGAACTCTAACAACAGATGGTGGCAGGGATGTGACCAAAGGGGAATGCTACCACACTGTTGGTGGGAGTGTAAACTTGTTCAACCACTCTGGAAAGCAGTGTGGAGGTTCTTTAAAAGACTATACATAGGGGCTGGGAAGTTGGCTCAGTGGTAGAGTGCTTGCCTAGCATGCATGAGGCCCTGGGTTCGATTCCTCAGCACCACATGAGCAGAAAAAAGCTGGAAGTGGCGCTGTGGCTTGAGCTGAAGAGCTGAGGGACAGCGCCCAGACCCAGAGTTCAAGCCCCATGACTGGACCCCCCCCCCCCCAAAAAAAAAAAGACTACACATAGAGCTCCCCTATGAACCACCAATCCCATTTCTGGGAATTTACCCAAATGTCACAAATAAGGCTACCCTAAAGCCACCAGTATGATGATGTTCATTGCAGCATTATTTACCATAGCCAAGATATGGAACCAACCCAAATGCCCCTTAGTAGATGAATGGATCAAGAAAATGTGGCACATATACACAATGGAATTCTGTGCTTCCATCAGAAAGAATAACATTGTTCCATTCATAAGGAAATGGAAAGACTTGGAAAAAATTATATTAAGTGAAGTAAGCCAGACCCAAAAAAACACAGGTTGCATGATCTCCCTCATTTGTTAAGAACTAGAATATATATATGATATTCTTAACAGGGAATCTCAATAACCAAAGTGCTAATGCAAAGGGCTATATATAATGAAGCATATTAACATGAACTACAACTTATGGAAACAAGAGGTTCTCATTAGACCCTGTATATAGTTTGTTCTTTTTTCTGTATTTTTGTATGATTTTTATTGTAAAAATATTGTACAGAGGGGTTACAGTTACATGAGCAAGATAATGAGTACATTTCCTATCGAGCATTGTTGCCTCCTCTTTGTTTTTGCCCTATTATCCCTTCCTTCCCACCTCCACAACTACTCCCCCCCCACTCACGCCAAAGTTGTAAAGTTCGTTTTCAACATAGTGTCTTATTGTTTTTTCTTTCTTCATTTCTTTTAGTTTTTTGTATGTCATGTTTTGCATAATAGACAACACAATATGTGAAAGGGAAAGGGAATCACAGAAACAGCAGAACAACGGATGAACCACAACATTGATATTCATTTGACACTATGTTGGATTTTAACATTACAACTGGGGGAGGGGATAAGAAGGGATAAGTGGGAGATAAAGAAGGATGAGGTAACAATGATTAAAAACAAATGTACTTATTGCCTTACTTATGTAACTGTAACCTTCCTGTTCATCACCTTTTCAATTAAAAAAAAAGACATGAAAAAAACAAGAACTTTATGCATTGACATATATCCATTTCGTGATATATTCCCACATAAAGAAAACAAGTTGTAGGCTAGTGGTGTGTGTAATGATATTTTCTTTGGGTTTTGTATTTATGCTATGTGTGCATGCACCCATGTGTGCCCCAGGACTGCTGTGAGCTGGCACACACTATTATAAAAGGCAACAGACTTGTGATAATGGTGGAGTCATTTTTTAAAGTATAAGTAACTGTTTTCCTGAATCTTCCAAGTATCCCCATATGCCCAGACCATCCTAGCTCTTTCCAGCCTCCAGGCCCTCTCCTAGCCACTAAGGAGACAATAATAGGCATAAGTATTAAAATTCTATTTCTTAGAAGAGCCTCTATTGCTGGAAACTCTGCTCCCGAGAAGTCCAGCTCACTAAGGTAATGTGAGAAGTACAACACTTTCAATGACTGAACTTGTATCTAGTAGCTGTCCTGTGCAGAGAGCCACTTGTGCATGGTAGGACTGACAAGAGGGCTAGAAATGACAGCTTTTAGAGCTAGTGCCTCACAACTACAGCTGTGATCTACATGAGTGAATGGTATTTATCCCTCTGTTTTAGATGCAGTTGACCTACAGAAAGCAAAAGAACATAATCAGAGACTGGATGAGGAAGTTCTGGCTCTAAGAAATCGTGTTCGGTCACTTGACTCAGAAAAAAAAGTGCTGGAAGAAGTGGTAAGTTTCATTTAGTTCTTGGGATTTATTTGATATGTACAATAACTATCAGAAGCTTGACACTGGTCAGTTAACTGAGGGATGATACTGATAGCTACATTTCAGATAGGTGCCCTACTTTGACCTAGATGGATTCTTTCAATGCTTATATTTTATGTATGAGCTACCTATGCTAAACAATTATTGATACTGTATGAATCTAGGTAATAATTTCCAGTTAACACATTTACCAGGAAAAAACATTATTTGTGATAAGTATGATATTGTTAGTACTAAACCCTTTGTTCTTTTCAAACAATTTATTTGTTAGCAATGTATTGATTGTAATATGTATTTTTTAAGTTCCAGATAGATTATGTCTCCTCAGCTTGAGTTTATACTCCACAGTCATATCTCTAGTGTCTAACACAAAGTTTGGCATAATACTAGGTGCACAAGAAATTTTGTTTTAAAAATGAGTAACTATCCCAATTAGGATGATAATTAATAAGACAAGGAAATAATAAATGTTGGTGAGGATGCAGGAGATTTGGAACCTTGCACATTGCTGTAGCTGGTGGGGGCAAGTACCATGGTCACTATTGAAACAGAACTGAAATTCTCCAGAAAAGTCAGTGTGGAATTACCATGTGATCTGTTCATTCCACTTGTGGTTTCATACACTAAATTAATTGAAAGCAGGGACTCAGGCATACTGTTGTACACTCGTGTTCAAAGCAACATTATTTACAATAGCCGCAAGATGAAGTAACTCAAGTGTCCATTGTCAAATGAATGGAAAAGTATGGTATACACATACAATGGGATATTACCAGTCTTAGAAATGAATTTCTGGGGGTTGGGAAGGTGGCTCAGTGGTAGAGCGCTTGCCTTGCATGCCTGAGGCCCTGGGTTCGATTCCTCAGCACCACATAAGCAAAAAGAAAAAAGCCGGAAGTGGCACTGTGGCTCAAGTGGTAGAGTGCTAGCCTTGAGCTGAAGAGCTGAGGGACAGCACCCAGGCCAAGAGTTCAGGCCCCATGACCAGACCCAAAAAAAATAAAGAAAGAAAGAAATGAATTTCTGACTTATGCTATAACATGAGTAAGCTGTGAAGAGATTGTTCTAAATGAAATAAGCTAATTACAAAAGGAAAAACCGTGTACAATTGAACTTTTTTGGTTTTGGCAGTGGGGATTGAACCCAGGGCCTCACATTCACTTATCAAGTGCTCTACCCCTTGAGCTTCACCCCAATCCCTGGGATTCTACTTATATGAAAATCATAGAAACAGAAAGTAGAATGACAGTTTCCTGGGACCAGGGAGAAGGCATGATGGGAGTTATTATGTAATATGTGTAGCCTTTCAGTGCAATGAGAAAAAAGAGCTCTCAACATGGGTGAATAGTGTACAACAGTCTGAGTGTTCTTACTGCCATTGAATAGTTACAATTATTAACATAACATATTTTATGTCGTGTGTGTTTTGTAACAGTAAAAAAATGTAATTATCAGCCAGGGGCCAGGGGCTCACCTATAATCCATAATCCTAGCTACTCAGGAGACTGAGATCTGAGGATCTCGGTTCAAAGCCAGCCCAGGCAGAAACGTCCTTGTGACATTTTTATCTCCAATTAACCACTCAAAAATCAGAAATGGGACTGTGGCTCAAGTGGTAGAGCACTAGCCTTGAGCACAAAGAGGGACAGTGCCCAGGCCCTGAGATCAAGCCCCACAATCAACCAAAATAAAAATGTAATCATCAAAAGGAATAAACAGAGATTTTCCTGCATTACCTTAATCACTATAGGTTTATATATAGAATACTTAGAAGTATATTTATATGTTTAATATAAATGTAAAAGTGTGTGTATGTATACGCACACACATGAAACAGCTCCAGCAGGGCACATTTCAACAACTGTCAGTTATGGAGAAAGAAGAATTGTGATATGAAGGAAATGCTACCTTTCTTTCTTTTCCTCCTCCTCCTCCTCCTCCTTTTTTCCTCTTCTTCTTCTTCTGTCATGGGGTTTGAACGCTGGGCCTAGGCACTATTCCTCAGCTCTTCAGCTCAAGGCAAGTGCTCTACCACTTGAACCACAGAGCCACTTCCAGTTTTTCTGGTGGTTTATTGGAGCTAAGAGTCTCATGGATGTTCCTGCCTGGGCTGGCTTTGAACTGAGATCCTTAGATCTCAGCCTCCTGCATAGCTAGGATTACAGGCATGAGCTATCTGGTGCTACCTTTTTTTCTATATGCCTATGTTTTGTTGAAGTTTTATGGAAAATGTATTTGCATGTCATTTATATAATTTTTTTAAATAAAGCAATACTGTAGTCAAACAAGAATTGAGATGTCTGACTGATTTTTGCTTTTCTATTTAAGGTTGAAAAACTTAAAAGTGAGATGTGTGAATCTCCAAAGTATAAGCAACTTAGAAGCCCTGGAAAAACAATGGGTGATGAACAGAGAATGCAGGTATTTTAAAGTTCTGATGCTTAACATGTTAAGTCATTTGCACTTTCAACATTTATTAGAGCAATAAATTAAATTATTAACAAATTAATCATTTGTTACTATCTTCTTACTGGGCTGGTTTTTTCCCCAAAAAACTCAACCAATTAGATTGGAAGAACAAATACAGAGGATATATTTCTGTTCAGTTCTTCCCCCAAGAGAATAATTAATGTGAAGGTAATTAAGTGGGTTGTTTCTTTGTTTTGATGGTCGTTGAGATTGAACTCAGGGCCTTATGCTTGCTATGCAGGTGCCTTCTATCACTTGAGCTACACCCCCAGCCTTGGATTATCTCTTTAAAGAAAGAAAAAAAGAATCATAAAGAAACAACTAGTCCAAGCACTTAGATGATCAATGGTGGGTTTATGGAGTCAACCAATGGTGAAGCTAGGAGTAGCTCAAACTTCACTGAATATAATAAATTACTACAAAAAAAAAAAAAAACCTAGTAAGATGTAGGCTCTAGTGTATACAACACATGGTTTCCCTCTTTATGATCAGCCTCTGAAATGGTAGCAAAAGTAATCAAGCATAAGGAAATGAAAGCAAGTGCCAATGTGCTCCTAGTGCCTATGTTATGGTGTGGTTTTAATTGCCTTTAAAGATTGTCTAATAACAATGGATAATTTTTATGTACTCATTGTCCACTTGTATATATTCTGTTGCAAATCATGAGTTCAAATTGTTGCCTCATTTTTAAGGGGTCCTATGTGTTGTTTTGTTTTGGTTTGGTTTTGGTAGGTCATGGGGCCTGAACTCTGGGCCTGGGCACTGTCCCTCAGCTTTTCACCTCAAGGTTAACGCTCTACCACTTGAGCCACAGCGCCACTTCCAGCCTTTTCTGTTTATGTGGTGCTGAGGAGTCAAACCCAAGGCCTCGTGCATGCAAGGCAAGCACTCTACCACTGAGCCACCTTCCCAGCCCCGCTATGTGTTCTTTATATTGAGTTGTAGTTTTTTATGTATCTTGAATTTTATGTATTTATGAATTTGAATTTTATGAGATGTGTGTATTGTAAATATTTTCTCCCAATCTATACTAGGTATTTTTATTTTCTTAACAAGATTTTATGAAAGGCAGAACTTAAAAAGAATTGCTGCAGGCCAATTCATCATTTTCTTCTTTAATTTTATGATAATATATAAAATATCTATTTGCATTATCTTTGCTTTAAAGTCTCAAAATATGTTTCTTACCCTTTGTTCTAAAGATTTTAGTTTTATTTCCATATCTTTGTCTGTCTCAAAATATATTTCCTATCCTTTGTTCTAAAGATTTTATAGTTTTAGGTTCTATATTGAGATTTATTATCTATTTTTTTTTGCCAGTCCTAGGGCTAGAACTCAGGGCCTGAGCACTGTCCCTGAGCTTCATTTGCTCAAGGCTTGCACTCAATCGCTTGAGCTATAGCACCATGTCTGGCTTTTTCTGTTAATGTGGCAATGAGGAATTGAACCCAGGGCTTCATGCATGCTAGGCAAGCACTCTACCACTAAGCCACATTCCTACCCCTAAGATTTATGATCTATTGATGCTCATTTTGTATATATTATGAGATGAGGGTAATTTTAATTTCCTAATGTACATCTGGTTATTCCAGAACCATTGGTGAAAGATAGCTATTTCCTTACTGAATTAGATTAACTTTTTATTTTAAAAAATCAGTTTGTGTGTGTCTACCCCATTAATGTATATGTTTGTTTTTAGGACAATTACCTGTAGCTAATTGAAATTCTGCTTATTACCCAATTCTGAAGCCGCTACCACATTTTTGGATATTTAACTTAAACATTTCTTAAAAATAGAAAATAGAATAATTCAACTTTGGGGGAGGTTGGTCAAAGTTATTCTTTGTGTTTCCATATACATTTTAGAATCATACTACCAATTCTGACATATATGCATGCTAGAACTTTAATAATATGGTATACTCTTCAGATCAACTTAAGAAGTTATATTTTAACAATATGAATCCTCAGATCCATGAGCCTATATCTTTGTTTCCTTGAATCCTTTTATCTTCTTTATCTCATCAGTATTTTGTATCTTGCAGTGCACAGATCATATACATATTTAATTAAAAATTGAGATATATTGAACTATGGCTATAGCTCAGTATTAGACCATTTGCCTAGCATGGGCAAGACCTTGTTTTCAATTTCCAGTACTGCAAATAAGTATATAATTTATACACATAAAATTTGTATACCTTTTAAAAGTATAAAATTTACTGGTGCTGGGGCTGTGAAGGTGGCTCAGTGGTAGAGCGCTTGCCTTGCATGCATGAGGCCCTGGGTTTGATTCCTCAGCACCACATAAGCAAAAAGAAAAAAGCTGGAAGTGGTGCTGTGGCTCAAGTGGTAGAGCGCTAGCCTTGAGCTGAAGAGCTGAGGGACAGCACCCAGGCTCAGAGTTCAGGCCCCACAACCGGACCCAAAAAAAAAGAAAAATTTACTGGTGTTTGGTATATTCAGAAACTTGTGCAACTATAACCAATATCTAATTCTGAAGGTTTTTATCACCCCAAGAAAAAACTCTACTAGTAGTAGCAACAGCAGCAGTCATTCCATATTCTCTCCCCCCAGATCCAGGCAACCGTTAAGGTAATTTGTCTCTATGACTTTACTTACCCTATCTGGGTTTTTGTTTTGTTTTTGTTTTGTCCGTCATGGGACCCAAACTCTGGACCTGGGTGCTGTCCCTCATCTCTTCAGCTCAAGGCTAGCACCCTACCACTTGAGCCACAGCACCACTTCTGGCTTTTTTTTCTGCTTATGTGGTGCTGATTAATCAAACCCAGGGCCTCATACATGCAAGACAAGCACTCTACCACTGAGCCAACTTCCCAGCCCTTACCCTATACATTTTACATAAATACAAAATCATATAAAATATAGCCTTTTGGGGGAGTTGAAGGTATAGTTCAATAGTAAAGTACTTGCCTAATATCAGCAAGGCCCTGGGTTCAATCCACAGCAAGACACACACACACACACACACACACACACACACACACACACACACACACACGCACACACACACACACACACACACACGAGCTTTTGTATTGGGCTCATCTCATTTAACCTAGTGTTTTCCAGGTTCACCTACATTGTAGCATTTTCCTTTTACATAGAAAATATTTCACTTTAGGTGTATATATCACATTTTTTAGTCATTCATAAGTTGAACATTTAGTGGCTTAATATGTTATTATGGATAATGTTACTGTAAATAGCATTTGCAAACTTTTATGTAGTCACAGATTTTATGTAAGAAAATATACGAGAGAATATACTTAGAAGAAGAATTTCAGTATCATATCTACCTTTAACCTTTTTTGTTTTGGGTGTTTGATTTCTTGAGACCAGTTCTCACTTTGTAGCCAAGCTGGACTCAATCCTTGTCCCTCAAGCTTTCCAGGTGTGGAGATTATAGATGTGTGCTACCATGCCCCACTTCTATATTTAAACTTTTGTTTTCCAGTACAGATGGACATTTTACAATCTTATTTTTTTACAGTGTTCAAGAGTTCCAACACTCCACATCAGTACTAACACTTGTTGTCAGTTTCTTACCATAGTTATCCTAGGGAGTATGAAGTAGTTATTTTAATATTTTGTGTATGTATGTGCCAGTACTGGGGCTTAAATTCAGGGCCATGTACCATTGTTTAGCTTTTTTGCTCAAGGCTGGTACTCTGTCACTTGAGCCAGACCTCCACTTCCTGCTTTTTGTTGGTTAATTGTGTATGAGTCTCCCAGAGACTGGCTGGCTTCAAACCATGATCTTCAGATCTCAGTGTCTTAAGTTGCTATGACTGCAGGATAAGCCACCAGCACCTGGCTCAATATTATTTTGATTTGTGTTTGCTGAGAATTGTTTTATGTTTTCCCTCACAAAGATAAGATTTCTCCTCACCATTACCTATCCTGGCCTATACTTCCTTTTCTCTAGCCTGTTTTTCAAGGCCCCCCTGCCTATTTTTTGTTGTTGTTACTGTATTTCAAGTGGTTTTTTGTTTTTGTCAGTCATGGGCTTGAACTCTGGGCCTGGGCACTGTCCCTCAGCTCTTCAGCTCAAGGCGAGTGCTCTACCACTTGAGCCACAGTGCCACTTTGATTTTCTGGTGGTTTATTGGAGAGAAGAGTCTCACAGACTTTCCTGCCCTGGCTGGCTTTGAACTGCTATCCTCAGATCTCACCTCCCAAGTAGCTAGGATTACAGGTATGAGCCATCAAGTGGTTTGTTTTTTTTTAATCCCTTGCAATCCCTTATCCTAGCTCACTCTGACACATGATAGGAATGATATCCTAGACACTGTGTTTGGTTCCCAACTAACTGATCGCTTTTTCCTAGCTTTTCTTGTTTTTAGCTCTTTCCTGGGTGTTTCTAGTAAATAATGAAATTGTCTTTCATATATAGATCTCCAAGATTAGTTCTTCTAAAACAAAGGGAATGATTCCTTAGGCTTTATAGAGCATTTGAAATCAGTGATTTTAAATTTTATCTTTAATAAATATACCAGAATTAACAGATACATGTAAATGTGCATTCATATATGTATAAGAATGGATATATATGGATACATATGTATATATGTATATCCTTCAATGCAGTTTTCTTCAGAGGCTTTAATCATGCTTAACTATATACATTAGATAAAAACGATTTGAAAGTTGGCTGTATAATTACGCAAGTAGTGACTTATAAAGTATAAAAATGTTCTTGTCTCAAATTGATACACTCATTCATTTTTACATTTGTCCCTGGATAGGCCAGGTATGGTCCCCTTAACATACCTGTAAACCTAGCTACTTGGGAGGTTGAGATTGGAAATTGAGCTTGAGGCTAGCTTAGGCCTAAGTTTGAAGATTGGATCTCAACCAATGTCTTGGAACAGTGGTACATATCTGTCATCCCCAATGGTGTGGGGAAGCACAAGTAGGAGGCTCAGAGC